GTGCGATAGCGATCGAGCTGCACTCTGCGCATGCAGCACTGGCCAGGCCAACACCCGCACGGGCACGCAACCCCCAATGGGGTTGGCACACACGGCGCAGGCATTAAGATCGATCCAGGTCCCCCCCAGTCCCACCCGTACGACCACGACCCCGCCCACTCCCCTTCCTCGGTGGCGGCCTCGGCGCGACGTGCACCAGAGGAACCGCAGGCATCGCTGGGTTAGAAAACGTTGGGATTGTCCCGCTGGATTGGCTAGCCGCCCTCAGCGGAGCGTCCGACGATAGGATACCTCTAGCCACCAGCTGCTGGAATCGGGCTGACTGCATCATTACTTCGACTTGTCGCCGCGCGCCAGGAACTTCGAGAGACCGCGCTCGAATGGGCCCCTCGGCGGCGGGCCTGGGAGGTACTCCCCCCCCTCGAGGATCACCTGGGGCTCGAGGCACTCCTGGAGCAGCTGGCCGATCTTCGTGCCCAGGTGCAGCTTCCAGTAGAGCGTCGCGCACTGCCTCTTGCCCTCCTCCTCCCGCTGCGGCTTGCACTTGAAGTAAGCCACCGCCCGTGCCAAGGGGCGCCAGTCCTTCTGCTGGTTCACCTGGTCCAAGACGGCCCTGAACTTCAGCTTCAGGTCCTCCTCGGCGGCTTTGTCTGCGCCCTCCGCCACCGTGTGCGTCGCCCCGTACTTGATGGCTGCGAGCACGATGTGGAGGAGGAGAGAGAAGGAGGAGAAGGAGGAGGAGGAGGAGGAGGAGGAGGAGGAGGAGGCGGGCCCCCTGCGTGGCGAGCGGCAGGCCGTCGCACGGGGAGGGCTCGCGGCGTTGTGCACGGCCGCGCGCTGCACCCGTGGGCACGTCCTTTATCTACCTCGCGGGGCCTCCTCCGGTGGCGACTGGGTGTGAAGGGGCCCTGGGACACACAAATAAATACACACAAATTAACTGATTCCCCATATTTTCCAATATTTTCTGGATCTCTGCCTTCCCCCCCACTTACAATATTTTCCAATATTTTCTGAGGAATCGAGAATTAATTGTGTCTGTGTGTTTTTTCTCCTCCTGAGGGTGGTCTGATCAAGTAGATTGGCATCGTGAAGGCCAGGACGGGGGACATGTGGGCGGCCATCGGGCAGTTGTTGCAGCATCGAGGCCATGCGGTTGTCACGGTCTTGTTCACCCACAGCCATGACTCGGCCACAGACGTCTGCGACGGTCGCTCCAACAGCTCCCTGGCGGTGGCCAGCGGAAGTGCTGACAAACTGGCAGACCATGCGGCGAACCCGTATAGAAGTGTCTGATCGTCAGAGCATTCAAACTCATGAACATCGAGCAGGAGTGGTACGAATAAGATTGCTTCGTGCCACGTTGGATTGCTTCGCCGCCGAGGAAGCGGCGGCTTTGGAAAGGCGTGATGGGAAAAGAGAAGGGTCCACACCTACCCCTCCTCGCCCCCTCCCCCTGCTACTGCTGCCGCCGCTGCTCTCTCCCAACTAATGTCACCCCTCAGGCTGTCTGAGTGCAAATGCGAAGGCCTTGAATGTCGGCCACGGCTGCTCGTGCTGCCCGATGGTGGAGTGGTGGAGTACCCCCTGTCCCGAGCTCGTGAATGTGGATGGCGTTCTGTTTCCCCGGTACAGGTAGCCGAGTTCACGTAGCGGGGAGTTGGACACATTCCTCCCACATCCTTGGTTATCAGATTTGGTTTTGCGAAAGATGTGGGGCCACAGCTGACGAGCAGCTTCGCACCCTCAGTAAACCCTGCACTACCCGACACGTACATGTCGTGACGATCCAGGTCGCAAAGGAATGGATTAGCTCCCGAAGTCCTAAGTAAGGCCGGCACCGCAAGGCGTCAGCACAGGTCATGATAGGTACTGGCAGCGCCACTGATTCCATCCTATCCTGTACTATCCATCCCTCCATCCCTTCTCCTCCCTCCCATCCTCCTCCCTCCTTCATCACCCCTCTCGACCTTCTCATCCTCAGCCTCCTCGTTCCCGCCACCCTCTTCCTCCTCCTTCTCCTCGCCCTCCTCTCTGCCACTGCTGACGCTGCTGCTCTTCCTCCGCATCATCCCTCCCTCACCCTCCTCTCTCCCCCCTCGCCCCTGGAAAACAACACACTGGCCTCATGGGGCCCTCTCCGGCCAGTTAGTCAAGCCCCCTACACCGGTGGCGACGAGGGAAGTCCAGGAGACCCAAACATCGCCTGAGAATTTCCAGCTTCCAAGTTTCTCGATACACCACCTCCTCCAGAGTTCTGGAGGGCGGGCACAAACGTCGTCCTCCTCCTCGACCATCCTCCCCCTATTCGTCATCCGCCTCCTCCTCCGCCTCTGGGCCAGCTCACCCGGGTCGCACGGGCACCCCCCTCTCATTCCCTCCTCCCTGGGAGCTCCCTGGAAGCATCCGGGAGCTGTGCCAGCGCCTCCTCGATGCCCCTCCTCCTTTCTCGGCCCCGATCCTCCTCCTGCTCCTCCTGGAGGGTGAGCAGAAGGAGGAGGAGGAGGAGGAGGAGGAGGAGGAGGATCGAGGAGGGATCAATTTGTGGACTGCTTTCCAGGGCCCGCGGTTCGTGCGTCCTGACTACAGGGTCGAGGAGGAAGGAGCATCATGGATCGAGACAAAGGGGGAGGAAGATCCGTCCTCACCCACGGGATTGAAGGAACGAGCGCAGTTTCCTGCAGAGTCTACCGCATCTGCTTGCATGGAGGAGCCAGCGGGGGCAGGGAGCGCCGAAGCCCAAAAGGAAACCCGAACTCCACGCACGTCTGGATTCACTTGCAGGCTTCTCTGGCCTAGCGCTGTTTGAAATGGCGGCGGGGGGGGGGGAATGGGGAACTGCCATGCAAATAATTTCGGCTGGATCTTTCGAGCAAAGTATCGAAACAGTGTCTGCCAAGCACGCTGGCGAAGTGCCGAACGAGTATCGCCTCCCAGGGCCCGACGCGTAGAAACCCTGCAGTTTCGAGACTTCCTTGGTGCTTGGAATTCTCTCTGGTGGCCAATTCTCTCTGGTGGCCATCGCACAGTGTCGATGTATCCCCCTCTGAATGCGATTCCAAGACACGACTATTATTATCATCATTGTTATTCTTACTAGACCAAAAATTATGCGTTTTGGGCTCTTGGCCTCAGAAAGGGCTTCAGAGCAGTTCAAGCATGACATGCGCAACCCTGCACAAGATGCTGTATGCAAAAGGGTTCTCTCTACACGCCCCTCGGCGCGAGGACCGAGCTTCGCCCCGGGCCTCACGCCGCACTCCCGTAGCCCCGTGCGGGCCGCCGCTCAAGCCCTCGAGGCTGCACGCAGGCGCGGGGCTGGCCGCTGCCCTGCTCAGCCTGTTAAAACAAGGCTAAGATCGGGATAAATCGCTCCAGAGCGTTCCGGAGCGCTCTCAGAGCGTTCCGGAACGCTCTGGAGCGGCCGCGGCGCCCAATACATCCTCCAAACCCGCCGATTCTCAGAGATTTCGAGTTATCCCGATCCGATTTTGTCCCGATCTTCACGTCGTTTGACAGCCTGTGGCGGCCCGCAGTGCGAGCTTCGAACGGCCGCCTGCCAGGCGCGGGCCGGCCCTGGCTATACATCCGGCTATCTCCCTCTGAGCCACATGCTTCGTCCCCATGTCGGCGACGTTCTCGGTGCCCTCGGTCTTCTCGATCCTGAGCTGCCGGTCAGCGACAGCCTCCTGAACCCACAAAGTGTGGGTGTGAAGATGGCGTACTCGACCAACTCCTCTCCGAGACGCTATGCCATTCGAGGCGGAAGCGTCCACCAACACGCGCGGCTGGACCTCCACAGCCAGGTCCTTCGCCATGGGCCATGGCTGCTCCTCCCAGCGCTCGGGAAGCCGACTTCGTCAGCGCTTAGAACTCGGCCTTACCCGAACTCGTGGCGATCACGTTCTGCGTGGTGCTGCTGCTGCACAGCAAATGGCTGCCATGCATCATGTACGAAGAGCTCGAACTCCGTCGAGTGCGGACGCAACCAGCCCAATCAAAATCCGAGAACACATCCAAGGTTCTCGGCATATCCTGCCGTCGGAACTCCGTCACGCAGCGCGGGGCGCCTAGCAGGAACCGGACCATCCTCTTGAGGTCTCGCTCGTCCTGCAGGCACGGTTGCTGCATCCTCCGCGCAAGCTCCTTGCAGCTGAACTGCAACTCCGCCCTGTCTTGGGACAGGTACGCGGCTCGCATGCCCATCGATCGGTACGCCGATCGTCGGCTCGCATCGAGCACCGGCCCGTCGTCAACGCCTGCCGGTGCCTTCACACCCGGCGTGGTCACGGGCTTGCTCTCGGCAGCGTCCAACCCCGCCGGCCAGATCAACAACTCGACGTGGCGTGGGTCAGCCTCCAGCTCAATCCGCTCGCCGCCGACGTCTCCCGGTGCGTACCACCGCAAAATGCGGTTAAGGTGGGTGATCTCGCTGACATCGCCCATCTCCTTGTTGGGGCCCAACGTCCCCCTGTGTTTCACAAGCAGGTGACGTCCGAGCTCATCTTTGAATGAATCCGTCAACGACCTCTTGCCGCTGACTCCAAAATCGTCGCCGTGCCTTGTCATGCGGACCGTTTTCGCAATCGCCCCAGAAACGGCCACCACTCCGGCCTGGCAGGCTACGCATGGGCTGAAACGGCCCAGCTTGTAGCCCATCTGCACTAAGACCTGGGCCACCTTTCCGTCAAAAGAGGCGCCTGCATCACGATGACCGTACACCGAGCCTGTACAACTTCCCATCCAACATGATGAACACCGTCCGCTGCAACGGCGAATGGAGATGTGCACGTGAGATGTCCAGACAACTGATCACCTCCTCACCCGCGGGATTTTCCAGCTTCGGGCTGGACATCAAGAGGGAGAGCTGCAGCTTGAAAGCCCCCCGCGGTGGCGTAGCTGTCAATGTGGCGCTTCAGTCCTCGACATCGATCGTCGAGCGCCTTTCGTTTCCTGGGGCACCAACCGGCTACGATAAATAGCTGGTCCTGGTCCCCCGCGTCGATTCCCCCCCAATCGGTGGGAACTGGCGGCCGACCCGTCTCGGCCAAGCATGTGTCGTAGTCGGAAAACCTTCATGACGCCCAACTCGCCCATGTGCTTCCGCCCCTCCTCACGCGCCTGCGCGACCATCGCAGGATCCAGAGGCAGACCCGTGCATCGATCGCGGAAAACTTGCGCCTCCTCGTCCACGGGGGCGCTCTCCAGCAAGCTCGGCTCCCCCAGCGTCGGGCCCAGCTCGACTGCCCGGACGGTGAGCTCGTAGGCGTTGCCCTCGAGCCCTTCGGCTGCTCCTTCTCCAGCTGCCCTCATGGACTTCCGGAGTGCTCTGAGGATGGCGGCCGCTAGCTGAGGAGGATACCTCTCGCGCGGCACAACCTGCATGTTTACTGTTTCGACGTGCTCGTGCCCTCCTTGGCACTGTCGGGACAGTTCGTCCTCCCAAAACGGATCATCAATCACGAAACCAATCGATTTCTCTGCAGGGCCGACAACGCCGTCCGGGTTGACAGCGATCTGGCCGAAGACGCATTGGTCGCACCGCACCCTGCGCATCCCATCCTCTTCCAGGAGGTCGCGCAAGCAGGGCTCATCCCAGACGCCCCGGACCAAGGATACTCGAACACACCGCGACCTCCACGACGTCGCTGAACGCGCGCCAGCTTGCACGCGATGCGAGGTGCTTGCGCGCCTGGCGCGCCTCATCCATTCACGCTGCCATCTTCTCTGGGCAGCTTTCGATCAGCTTTGGCGCCGTCGGCGCCGCGCGCATCGGACCGAGCGGCAACAAGTACGGCTGCTCAGTGGCCAATGCCTCCTTGGCCTTCCGCTGGCCCTCCTCCTTCGCGAGGCCCCAGCCGGCCCTCGTGCACAGGGCCGCGCCCGCAGCGAGCCTGAATGCCCAAGCGCGCTCCTTGACGCCAGCCTTGCTGTAGGCTGCGGCAACCGCGACGGCGTCTACGCCCATCGCAGCAGCATCCACGGCCTCCGCGAGGTCCTCCTCGACCACGGGGGCCATCTCCTCATCTGGCGGCAGCCTTCTCCTCCTCGAGGGCTCCATCTTCCTCTCCGGGCTTCCTCTGCCCTCGCGGTGCGCGGGGCTACCCGCGGCGCCTCCGGGCGCGGAACTGCCCGCAGACGAGCTGGAAGCCTCGTGCTCCCTCTTGCCGCCTAATCCTGCGCCCTCGCCCCCTCGCAGGGCGCTGGCACCGTCGCCTCCTCGCGCGGTGCTGGCCTCCTGCGCGGTGCTACCCGCAGCGGGCGCTCGCCCCGCCGGCCTCCGGAGGTCCCTCCGCGGCCTCCGAAAGCCCTGCAGCAGCAGCCGCGCACCCCGGGCAGTTCTCCGTGCACCCGTGCTCGACCAAGTCCGACTTCTTGATGTAGACTCGGCGTGGCCCTCCTCCTCCAGCACCTTCTGCTGCCCCTGCTGGCGCTGGCACCGGCGCGGTCGGCGGGGCCAGGCGCGCCGCGGCAGGCCTGGCGCCTCGCCGGTCCCACGGCGCAGCCGTGAACTTGTCCAGGAACTCCTGGTCGCACCTCTGGGTCGCCTCGCGGCGCCTGACGGCCCTCGCCCTGGCCACCCCATCGGGCGTGCCGATGAACAGCCCGTCGGTCTTGTCGCTGAGCCCTAAGAACAACCCGTCAGCCCATCGAGGCTCGACCCGAGCCGGGCCGCTGTTTGCCCCAGGGATCTGATCGAGGATCTTCTCTGCAAACGGCGGCAGCGCCCCCCTCATCGCCCCCCCATTCTCTGATCTCGAACGCCGCGCGCCCATCGGGTCCACGGCGGACTCGATGAACCATGGCGGCCGCGCATCGTGCCAACCATGGCGTCACAGGGTGCGCCCCATTCAGCTCCTCGCCGTACTTCTCCCCGGGCGCCACCAACAGCGTGCGCACCTGGTCCTTCACCTCGCGCACCGCGGCCTCAATAAAGGGCGTTCTCGCGCGAGTCGTGGGCGGCAGACTCCTCCGTCCGCGCTGCGACTCCCCGTAGCCGCGCCTTGTTGCACGCGGCGTCCTTCAACGCCTTAATGGCCAGCTCTTGGTCCGACGCGATGATGACCTCAGGCGCCCCGCAAACAACGATCTCGTTCACCGGAGCATCGATCGCAATAGCGTCGGCCCCCTTGCTCGGGACGACGTGCCCTGCCAACCAACGGTCGCAAGAGCTTCTGAGAACAAGAACTGGCGAATCGCCCGCAGCCTCGCCATCGGCGTCGCGGTCGTTGAAATAAGCGCAGTCGATGGCAATGACAGGCGCGAAGGAGCCCCGCCGGCCGACTGCCCCACAATCAGGCTGCATGCGGCCACGACCCACGCAACAGGCCCTGCACCAAGAACGGAACACGGCATGACCTCCACTCCCATGCTCCTCACGCTCTGCCTCCGCATGGGCCCTCGGCTTAGCCATGGGCCGAATCGGTGCCGCATCCACGTCCGCCGCCCCCGCGTCCATGGACTGGTCAATCGACGCTAACATCGCCTTCTCGCGTTCCGCGTCCACCTAGAGCTCGCTGTAGGGCACCAGCTTGGCTCGCAGCGCCCACGCTTTCCCTTTGCTGATGATGTCGATCCTCGACACCGTAGCAGGAAAAAGGATGTAGGCCTCGCCGCTGCCGAAGACGACCTTGTTGCCCAAGCGCTGCATCTCGCTCGCTGCGAGGAGGGGCTTCGACACGGCGGTCACCCGAAATCGAGATAGACCTACCCTGCCTCCCCCAAAATCCAACCCAAGGGCTCTGCAACCATTGTCGTGGGACTTCTGGCCTCCAGCAGCCAACCAGTACCCTCCCGACTGCGAGATGCGCGTCGGGTGCATCGGGCAGTCCTCTCCGACCTCCGGCGGCAGCGCGCTTACGGCCGCCCCGCTGTCGACGATGCTGTCGATGGCGTGGCCTCTCCCGTCCGGCATCGGCTCGAGGCGCTCGCCCGTGCCCGGCGCCAGGGCGGCTCCAACGTCGAAGCGCCGCGTGCTCGACGGAGCGGCAGATACAGACCCTGCGCCGTCTGCAGGTGCCTGCGGGCATGGCTCCTCGATCGCAGACCCTTTTTTAGGGCAGTCTTTGGCGAAGTGGCCAGGCTGGCCGCAAACGTAGCAAACTTTCTGAGCCTTGCCTTTCCCATCTGACGGCTTGCCTCCTCCGGGGCCTTGTCCAGAGCCCTGTACAGACCCTTGTCCTGGGCCCTGTCCGGCCCCTGGCCTGCCTCTGCCTCCTCCTTTGGTTGGCCTTCCACCACTGCCACCCCCTTTGTGCCAGCGCGCGTCGGCCGTGCCCTAGCTTCCCGCAGTGGGCGCATTTCTTCGTCGGCGGGTCCCTGGACCAACAGTTCGCCTCTGTGTGACCAGGCTTGCCACACTTTGCGCGCTTGCCCTTGCCGCGGCTCTTGGCGACGGCGCCCACCTCCATGGGCACTGGGGCCGATTGCGCGGCGGCCATGGCGCGTGAAATGGCACCTACCTCGGCGCGGAAGTCTGCCCACCGAGTGAGCGTGTCGACGCGGAGCAGCAGATGAGTCTTCATCGGCGACTCTGGGATCCTCAGCAGGAAGGTGCCGATGAGCATTCCGTCGTCCAGGACCTTTTCCGCAGCGGCCTCGTAGAGGCCGATCTCCTTTTCCCAGGCCCCCATCCTCTCGACCAGGTCAACGGAAAATTAAAACTCAAGATTGCCATCAGCTGTGCGGAGAAGCGCGTCCGGAGCCGAGGCTCGCAGCGCTCTACAAGGAACCTCCAACCCTCAAGTCCTTCGCCGTCGCCTGCGTTCAGCAGGATGTGCAGCGACGGGCCTTTCAGCAGCATGCGCAGCATCGTGCACAGCTGCCTGCTCAACTCGACCTTGTCCTCGGACAGCGTGGCGTTCAGCTGAGGTGACCTGTCGGTCTCTGCGGCTGCCATTGCTGGCCCCAGCCTGGGCACTGCCGCTCCTGCGTACCCCCTGAACACGGCTGCCCGGTCCTTCCATGTCTCGGCCTCCCCGTGGAACTCCTGGGGCTTGCCGAGGAGTCTGGTGCCGATCCCGACTCCTAAAACGGGTCGTTCCGAATGTCGTCCCGCGGCTGCCCCTCTCGCCGCCACCAGCTCCTGCTCCAACTGGCTCTGGCGCCCCTGCAGAGCGCGGGCGGTCTCTGTCAGCTGGCGGGTGGTCTCCTTCATCGCCCCTCGGCCGCAGGGGCTGTTAGGGAGCCCAAAAAGGACGTACGCGCCCAGCTATGTACATGAACACGGCCCCTGGATCCGCGGGACCGGCCGCGTTATACGAACATTTGCGCAATGCGTATTCTCGAAACCAGCGTGGCAGCCTCGGCATTGTCCTCCTGAGCTGTGGCAGCCTCGGCCCTGTCCTCCTGGCCTGCTCCTGCTCCTCCTGCCCACGCGGCCGCACCTGCTGCGCCTCCTCGCGCGCAGGTGGCCGGCTCGTAGCCTGCGCGGAGCTGCCCGCAGCAGGCGAACCCAGCGCGGAGCTACCCGCGGCTGGGACGGGCGCGGCGCTACCCGCTGCCCGGGCTGCGGCGGCCAGACGCGCCGCCCTTTCCGCCCTCAGCGCAGGCGCGAGCCTCCTCTGCTCGCCCCTGCACTTCCTGCGCTCGATGGCGTCTTCACCGCGAGTGCCGCGGCGCCGCGCCATCGCCAGGAGCCGAACCAGGCTCCGCTACCACGACAAATGATTCTGCGTTTGGGGCGCTTGACCTCAGAAAGGGCTTCATAACAGTTCAAGCACGACATGCACAACACTGCACAACATGCTGTATGCAAAGGGTTCTGTCTACATTAGTATTATTATTAGTATTATTATCATTATTATTACGATTACCATCATTAATATTATCGTTAAAATAATACTACTACTACTACTAATAATAATAATATTAATAATAATAGTAATACTAATAATACTAATAATACTAATAATACTAATAATACTAATAATAATAATAATAATATGGTTATTATTATTACTCGTATCGTTATTAGTATTAGTATTAGTAGTATGTTTATTATGATTATTATTAAGATTATATCACTGTGATTTTTTATGGTTATTATTTATGCGTGGTATCTTTGGTTTACATATATATGTATGTATGTATATATATGTATATAACGCGTGGTGCAAAGGAATTCTCTGCGTGCGAGGCCCAAGAAAAGCAGAGCCGCGTCTCGAAACCAGCGCAGGTCAGAGAAGACGGCACAGGCCCGAAACGCGGGCGGGGGGCGCCGATACCGAGGGAGGGCAGCAAGACACCATCCGCCGCTGGAGGCGCTGTTCCTCCCTGTCAAATCCAGGAGCTCACATTGCCAACCCCTTTGAAGGGGCCCCAGGACACACAAATAAATGCACAAAAATAAAACGATTCCCCATATTTTCCCATATTGTCTGGGTTTTTGTCTTCCCCCCCACTTCCCATATCTTCCCATATTTTCGGGGGAATCGACGATTAATGGTGTCTGTGTTTTTTTCCCCCTCCTGACCCTTGGCGGCGGCTGGGGGATCTGAGCTGCCCGAGCATATCTCCCAAGAAGGAGGGACAAAGCCAAATTCGCTCAAAATCTGTCCCTGCACCCCTCCCAAGGTCCATCTGGCGCAGCTTTTCACCCCGGAACCGTTTTGGAATCCAGATCCCGAACACGGCCACCGGATGCAGAGTAAGACCAAACACCTTCCCAGACCCAGAACCACGAACCTGCCCCCCCTTCCTGCTCGCTGGAACCAATGCTGGGCCACCTCATACCTCCAGCCGGCCCTTAGAAGGAGGAGGAAGAGTAGGACGCCCAGGCGGCTCTAAACAGCAACAGGAGGAAGGAGGAGGAGGAGGAGGAGGAGGAGGAGGAGGAGGAGGAGGAGAGCGAGAGCGAAAAGAAGGGAAGGCGGAGGAGGCTCGAGGAGGCTCGAGGAGGGTCGCGGAGGATCGAGGATCGGGCCCACCCCCAGCGGGGGGCCTGTAAAGCAGGTCCGCGTAGCCAGACGGCGTCAGCCCGCGCCTGCCCACAGTGGCGGACAGCTGCAGGTGCGCCTCAGATCCGACGACGACGCCGAGGATGACGACGACGAGGACGACGACGAGACGAAGACGAGGGCGAGGAAGAGGACGAGGACGAAGTCGACGACGACGACAACGACGAGGCGGTCGAGGACGACGATATTGAGGACAACGAAGACGACGAGGAGGACGAATTCGACATTGAGGACGACGACGAGGATCCTCGTTATCATCGTCCTCATTCTCGTCCTCCTCGCTCTGGAGGACCAGAACGAGGACGACGAGGACGACGAGGACGAAGACCACGAAAACGACGACGAGGATTACGATCAGGATGACGTGCTTCATTTGTTCCTGCGAATGGAGCAAGGGAGGAGATCACCCTGTAGGGCGTGGGGCGAGAATATGCACAACTGGAATGCACTGCACACAGGGAGACAAACAATGCTAAACCGTTGCACGCTTGATGACGTTCGTCATTTGGTGGTCTCTTGTGGCCGTCTCGGCTCCCCCGTGGGCCCGCCAAGGGACAGATCCGGGACATGATTAACAGAAGTGGCGACGCCGGGAGGCTGGCTGTGAGCGGGCGACGATGCAGACGACGACGAAGTCGATGAGAAGGAATGATCGATGGGACCAGCCCAGGAGGGAAGCATCAAACTGGCATCGGCGATACATCCGCCGATCGATCGGCGACTGGCCCCAAATAGCGAATTCATAACTTCCTGGGCTGGGTGGGCTATCGGGCCCCTACTGTGGAGGCCCACGCCAAGAAACACCCTGCTTGCCTCCAGGGTGCCTTGGGTTTCTTGAATTTCGATGGTTTTGCTTTGGAAGGCGTGACATTCCCACACCAAAAACCAATGGACGTCCCAGGGTTTCAGGGTTGGGTCTCTTGTGGAGGGTTTCTTGTGGACTGGCCTCCACTGTATCGACGATGAATGGGGGGGGCGATGCATATCCCCCTGAGACTCCTACCCCCCCCCCCCCGTGATCCTCGTCGTCAAGTTAGTTTTTGGGTCATACCTCAGGTCTCCGGCGGACGTTCGGGACGATCGGGGCGTCGCCAGACGCCTCCGGACAGGCGCTGCTTCTGAAACGCATCCCGTGGCATGAACACCTTCAGGAACCGATGAAATCGTCCAAACACCTGCCCACCCCTGAGCCTACTTGGATTGGCGCGGGGGTTGCTACGGGGGTAGGGGGTATGAAAATGGACGCCAAGCGTGTTCTATCTGGCCCATGCTAGCATATGATCGGGCTAGACAAGTCCCATGCAAATTGCTTGGGGATGAAAGAGCTCCGCTATGTGGTGGACGCATCCCACTTCGCCTAGATTGCTACTATCCGCAAGCCCGCCTATGGCACTTGCAGCCCACCTGTAAGCTAGGTCGGACCAGATATGACCCACCTTGGCATCCACTGATAAGCCCCCAAGCCGAATCACCCCCCCCCCCTTACGTTGCACCTGAGGGACGCGGCCCGTCAACCCCGACCAGG